TTAATGTGGGGTGTCCATGCATATAGATCAGGGACAAAAAGTGATGGGTTTGCTCAACTACAGTCATACTGGTGTTAATAGTCCACCAACCCTCCATTTGTCGCATAATGAGGAAGGTGCTATTGCAGGGTTGGAATCCTGATGATCAGGAACCCCTTAAAGATTTATCATAAACTGACTGAAGACCAAAACATGGCTGAGAGGTGAAGAACAGATTCTACTCACTGATCGTAGCCTAATGGCCAGAGATCAGAACTCCCAATCCATAATTATGCTTCATGAGTCCTATGCTGTTATAAATATAACATTAAAAAAATGTACAAGTTATTGACCTGTATCTTTTTCTGTATAATCACCTGTGGAAAAAAATCGACATTTGTCACACCTGTCTCTTTTCTCGGGATTGACTTATTCACATACCAGACATACCAACCTTTCAATTTGTGCCTATATAAGATGTGGGTGGTTTAATGGATAATGGCTTGGAATGAGAAATTAGAGGACCAAGTCCAAATATGAATTGTGTTCATTGCATTCACTTATGCATATCATAAATAAGAAAGATATGAATTCATCTACCCCCACTACCCCCACCCCCGGTAATGGTTGAATAGCAGAGTGGGTGCTATAATCTTGGTTGGCAAGTAGTCTACTGCAAAAAGAAATAGCAGCCTCTGTCCCTATGTCGGCCTACTGTTGGATGATCACCCAAGCATATATCAGGTATACCACTTAACTGACTGACTCACATCGTGACATCCTACCTGTTTATAGATTCTTCAATGATCTGTTAATTTGTCTAAGAAAGAAGGTGAATTTATTGATATATATATATTTATGAATAAAAATGACAATAGGAAAACTGGTAATTGCTGACGCGTTTCGTCCAATGTGAACTTTATCAAAGCAAAATACGAAATATATACATATATACGAAATATATATATACATTTTAAATTATTGATTCCGTTGCATCTGTATGCATCATCATGCATGTACATCTTGTCTAGGACTGGGTTTCTGGTTCTTTCTAAAGTTTACTTCAATTTTGTGCTTCTAACAACTCTGTCTGAACTGAAATTTTATTTACTAAATTTTTTTTCTCAGTTGGAGTAGATAGGTTCACTTATACATTCCTCCCTGGTCTTTTGAATGGATGTTTAGGGTCAGGTTTTTGGTTCCTTATAAAGTCTACTTCAATTCTGTACCTCTAATGAAATAGATAGGTTCACCTATGGTCTTGTTCATACTCCTCCCCTGTGTTTTGAACAGGAGTATAGGTTTATCCTTTGTTTCTGGTTTAGGATCAAGTTTTTAGTTCCTTCAAAAGTCTACTTTAACTCTATACTTCTAATGTAATAGGTTTACCTATGGTCTTGTTCATATGTTTTGAACAGGAGTATAGGTTTATCCTTTGTTTCTGGTTTAGGATCAAGTTTTTAGTTCCTTCAAAAGTCTACTTTAACTCTATACTTCTAATGTAATAGGTTTACCTATGGTCTTGTTCATACTCCTCTCCTGTGTTTTGAACAGGAGTATAGGTTTATCCTTTGTTTCTGGTTTAGGATCAAGTTTTTAGTTCCTTCAAAAGTCTACTTTAACTCTATACTTCTAATGTAATAGGTTCATCTATGGTCTTGTTCATACTCCTCTCCTGTGTTTTGGACAGGAGTATAGGTTTATCCTTTGTTTCTGGTTTAGGATTGTGTTTCAAGTTTCCTTCTAAAGTCTACTTCAACTCTCTACTTCTAACGTAGTAGATAGGTTTGCCTATTGTCTTGTTCACACTCCTCCCCTGTCTTTTGAACAGGAGTATAGGTTTATCCCTTGTTTTCTGTTTAGGATCGGGTTTTTGGTTCCTTCTAAAACCATTTCATTCTCTTTCACCCCCAGTTGCCTCTTTTGTTTTGGAGACATTACCTTGCTTGGTGCAAATTAAGAACAATATTCCCATAAACTTTTTACTCTCTAACTCTCTACCTTGAGTGGCTCTTGGGCTTTATACACAATGAACATCTATATGCATATACAGGCACCTGCATTTTAAAAGAAAAAAGTTATTGCATAGGTATGCATTTTTAAAATACACTTTCTCTTTCCTTACACCAAAAAAATTTATTTATCTTATTGTAAAGTTGGTATTTTCTGTTATTGTTATGTATAAATGTACTGTCCCTCACAAGGATTGAACTTACAACTTCCGGTTTACCAGAAACTATAAATCAATGTGTTTATCCACTTGTTTATCATTGTTAAACTTACCTGTCACACCTGCTAATTGGAACTGGTTTAGTATATGAAAATAAAAACAAACTGGTTATACTTCTCCAAAGATAGTAACTCCGAGTTTTTAGATTGGGGTTGGGTGGGGGTTCTGATACTAGCACTGATTTATCCTTTGATTTTTTTAGTAATTTAGCATACATTGTAAATACACATTGGCATTAGATTTTTAAGTTATTCCTCACCGCTCCCCCGAAAATAAAATTGTACATATAGA